ACACACACACACACACACACACAAATTCCACAGATATATAAAGTACTTGAAAAGTAAGTAAAAGTAAAAAGTAAATGGTAAATATAATAATACCTTAACAGAAAAGGACTTTAGTAAAAATCAGGAAAATAAACCAGTAGTAAAACTACTTTTACTCGCTGTTTAAGAAATAAACTGTTGAATTTACTGAACCAAACTGATTCCACTAAACCAAGTTGAATAAATTGAGCGACAATGTTCTTTTAATGAAAATATGTATATTGCTTAATATTTACTCTAGTGGAACCAGTTGACTTGTTTGAGTAAATTCAACACTTTATTTTTTTAGAACACATAAACAACTCCTTTCATTATAAATTCAGACAGATTTAATTTTGTAACGAGTAGCTAGGTGTTAAATTTTATAGTAATTATGTAAAATATCATTTTTGTCTTTTGAATGTAATGAAATAAAAAGTAAGTTACCATAAAAGAAACTTTGTAAAATTACTGTTTACTTAAAGTAAACATACTTATTACTATACAACTCTGTAAAGTTTATAACACAACCATGTCTACCAGGTAGGTACCCAGTACTTACCAGGTACGTACCCGATACAGTCTGTACCTGGTACTTACTGCACATGTGCCAGGTTTGTACTGGATATGTACCAAGGGTGTGTCCAGAGTAAGTACTGTGTGTAGCGGGCTGTATTGTGTACCGTTACCACAGACGGATCATTAAAGCCAAGTCTGAGCTGGTGTTGAGGTAAATCGGGTCTCAATGAGTCGTCATTCTGGCCCGCAGCCAGAGGTACGGCTCAAACTGTCTGATGTCCTGAAGGTCCAGATTACACAACAGGACCAAGAGAAGCTGTGACCCGTCACCTTCAGGTCCAACAGCTGAGCCTCCAGTCCTGACAGGCTCAGAGCCTGCAGGACGCAGCACGTCAGAGCTGAGCCGAGCCGAGGTGAAAGTAAATCAGGTCTGAATCAGAACTTTCACATGAATCACACAAACACTTCTGTCTCAACAGGTCTGCCACAAACAAGAGGAGGAGATGATGAAGATTGATGAATGTTTTCACCTCAGGTTTTGTTCTCAGGTTTTGGAAACCGAAGGTTTTAATTTATTAGAAACTGCCGACTTCTTTAAAGCTCAGCAGTAATTAAACTCTGWTGAAGTGTTCCAGCTGTTGCCAGAGGCTCATTGTTGTCACCATGGTAACCACACACCTGTGTCTCACTCCCTGACAGCACTCCTAACATTAAGATTAAGTTTGGAAAAAAAATTTTTTTTACTTGGTATGAAAATTGTTTCTTAAATCAATGGTGAACTTTAAATTTATAATTGAATGCAATAAAAACTCATTTAAAAAGGTGTGAAAGATAACTGTCCTGCCCCTGAGCTGTTGGCTTTAGGTAACTGAGCAATTTAGTTGGATAGCACAGTACTAATGTCTCAGAATAATCTGCTTTAAAGTCRGCATCGACCATAAACTACGTCTCCCATAACGGATGTTGATCATCCATGGGAACTCCCTGTCAGAAAGTGGGAGTTCAGAATTCAAGATGGCAACTTCTCACTAGAAACTCAGTGATATTAGTTTTACTTTTAATATTATTTCTGTATTATTTATTTCAGATTTAGCTAGTCGTACACTTAGTTCTTATTCATTGTATTGTAGAGACCGTACTGATAGGCTTGGAGGTGGTGTTGCAGTTTTGTTCACAAGAAATACTCACATTCTAATCGAATTATCAACTGAGTCTGAATCTCTGCAATTAGAAATCAAGCTTACAAATCACCTTTCAGTAACGGTTGTTGTTACATATAAACCTCCAAGTGTTAATTCAACTAAATATTTAGCGCAGCTCACTGAGCTGCGCTAAATATCCCATGGCACACCCTTGATCCCATGGG